ATTTCCATTAAATTAAATTTCTCTCAACATATAAGCAAGCAAAAATTAAAAAGAAGCTTAATCCTACTTACACTCAGAATTAAAGAAGATACTCAAAGCGAGTTTCTTCCTTTAGACATTCTGCGTTTAGTTAACAATAAGTTTCATACATTGAGATTAGCGAAAAAAATAAAGAAAATTTAATAACTAAAAAAGAAACGCTTAGAAACCAACGTAATGTCGAAGATTAAATGTTTCGTGCACATAATTCGAGTCTATTTATTTTAATCCGTTCGTTCTATTGGGGCGCTTTAGCGATATGCGCGTGTACGAATTAAGTGTGTGATTTAAATGTATATTTAATTAGAATCGATCAATCCGCGTTTGATCTTACATTATCGGCGACATCGGATTTCCTGCATTAAAGTCGGCTCTTCTCCGGGCTCGAGCGACCGATTATTATATCCGAAGGTTGTTAGTTGTTACTCGTAGTATCCTTTTCTGATCGGGAGCGCTCTCTCTCTCTCTCTCTCTCTCTCTCTCTCTCTCTCTCTCGCATGTATGTGTGTAATACAGTTTGTCGCGGCCATCAGATCATTGCGGATCGCTGTTATGACAATAGCCGAGCACGGTAGCGTATCCCTGTTTTCAAAACACCGCCTCTCCTCATGTACACCAGGATGATCCTGGCTCTCGCTGCTGCAGGAAATTGTACACCCACGAGGGCAACCTACAGGTCTGAAAAGAGAGATCCTCGTCGCTACATTAAAATCCATTTCTTTCTTTCTTTTTCTCTCTCTCTGTTCTTTCGGGGCGATTTCTGAAATTTGTGTTCGCTCATGGCGATAGAGAATACGCGTGTTTCGCAACGGGAAAGTCGTATTTCCGAAAATATGAAAAAAAAACCTCGAGCTCGAAATGGAGATAAATCCGCGGGATATAATTTCGCGCTTTAATATTATTACTTTGTTGTAATAATGTAATATTAAAAGATCCGCGACACGATCAGTGGCCATGTCAAACCGATGGGAACTGATGGCAAAGCCTGCAAATGTGAAATTTAAAAAGATTTTTCATACGAATAAAGCTTTTGAAATAGTTATATATATATATATATATATATATATATATATATATATTTCGAGATGCGATACCAAAAAGATGTTTCTGTAATATTTAGAAAAATAAGAAATCATAATTTCAAGATTAATTTTAGTAATATGATTACGGCAGTATATTCCTCTCCTTTTTATTATTATTCATATTGTATTTTTATTAAATTTTAATATATATGTATATATGCAACGAACAAAATATTATCTGGAGAAAAGTATTTCATCAAGTTTTCAATTTTAACTCACTTGAATTGATATTTTACATTTAATCATTGATTAATTTCAATATATTATCTTACTGTTCGAGATTCTAATGTAAGAATAATTAAGTCCACGACTTGTAAGGACCACTTAACGATTAAATGAATTTAATTTCAATTAAATTTGACATGTATAACAACACGACAAAGTTGTATTCCTCAAATGATTTCTTTCACAAATTACGGATTTTGTTCCCGGATATCAAGTCGATTTCCGAATCGGTCAAATGAACTAAATGGCTCTTTCTGAGCTCGCGCGCGGTGCGCTGCAGTAATTTAGCGAAAAAGAGGAGACCCGTGTCATTCGAAAAGCGGTGGTGCTCGTGCATGACGTTCGTGAGATCATCCGTCGATCGATGCGCGTGAACGCGACGCGGCGCGGTACGGCACGGCATATCCTTGTTTCCACAACACGGCTCTTCGGTCAGGACGAGACGGCGCGATACCGGGAAATTTTACACCCAGCGTCCGTGTGTCGCGCGGACATCTTGTTTGGCGGATCCATCTCTAGCCCGGAGCACGTGTTCGCGTTTTCGCAAGCCGTAACCGTATATCATCGAGCCCAGGACGATGTTGTAGATACGTAATATCTCCCCGTGCAACGGATCGAGATACACGCATACACGGGGCAGCGGCGTTCGACTTTCATTGCGACCGATCGTTGTATTACCGATGAGAGATCATCCCCGAGAAGGTGGAGCTCTATATGAGCCCCGAGCTCTGTGAGCCATTTTCCCGCGCCTTAGCGCTATAGGTATCATTGCGTGTTTTCGAGCGAATTTTCCATCTGTTACCCTATATACGGTACTGAAAGTTCGTGTTTCGCGTGTAATGGGGAAAAATAAATATTCTCAAAAGAGAAGCCCTTTTAAAACAGTATTATTGAAAATATATTAAAATTCAATGAGAATTTTGCCGTTATATCACGTTCTTATGTAACATGTAGCTTTTTAATATAAATATAACATGGCTTTTAATAATATTTAGTAACAATATTACAAGAGAGAGAGAGAGAGAGAGAGAGAGAGAGAGAGAGAGAGAGAGAGAGAGAGAGAGAGAGAGAGAGAGAGAGAGAGAGAGAGAGAGAGGAGAGTAGGGAAGAGAGACAGAGAGATAAACGTGATCCGCGATCTCGTTTCGTACGCGTATGCATACGTACTTTTGTAAATACCAATAATTTAAGTGGCAATAATAATTTTACGGCTATATCGCCCCCTCATGTCGCGACGCGTGAAGAAATTTTATAAGATATACAGTCCATTTCCTCGCTTTCCTTACGATCGTCATTTTCGCACTTTGAAGAATTTCTCCCTCGCGCTTTACGCGTGCACAAAGCAATTTGTGCGGCCGTTAAAACGTCCGCGGTTAACGACTCGTAGTACGATGTCAATTACACGGTGCTGTAAACCGCAAATTTGCTCCGTCAACGTGACTACGTGATCACTCTGTGTTTCCCGTTGCCGCAACAATCGTGCAAAGATATGAGCGAATTAAAAGTCATCACACGTACAAAAATTTCAGTCGTAATCATAAGTCCGTAAGCAAATTGATCAATCACAATCAAAATCGCAGTCTTGCGATTTTTAGAATGTTCGACTGTGATTGGTTAGTATGGTTACGACCTTATACGATTACGATTAAAATTTTTGTACGCGTAACAGTCGTAAAGGAAACCGAGGAAGAGTTATATGAGCGTACATCACTTACATTTATTACGATATCTGTAACGATTTTATCTGTACAACGTAAAATACGATGTTTGTGACGATTTTATCTATATGTAAAAAATTATTATCTATACGTAGACCTCTGCACGCTAATCTCCTCTTAATCATCAAAATTCAGCTGAAAAAGAATGGGTACCTTTCGATCAACGATCCCAATTTACCAAGTAATTAGCGCGTAATGAGAGATAATATTTCGATATTCCGTAATAACGATAATAAAACGCGACGAGAGAGACTGTTTTGTTTACGTCAGTTGGATAATTAGATAAATTTTTGTCCGACCGGCCGCCGCCGGAGCGCTTGACTTTCGCTCTTCCGCTTCATCCGCATTTTGCGTCGCCCCGGGTTCGTTCGCTTTTATCTCCCTTTTTCTTCCTCTTTCCCTATTCCGCCCGCGGCGGTGCGCACGTAAGTTATCGGTGTCCTGTTACATCCAGTTCCAGTTACACGTGCCGCGGGGCACCGATGCATTCGATACCGTCCCCTCCGCGCGCGCTCGCTCCCGTACGCAGCAGCACTTCCGAGTACGCGCGACTCTCTCTCTCTGTCTGTCTCTTTCTCTCTCGCTCCCGCCGACTCTCTCTCTGGGGTTTTCCGTTTTACGATTTTAACGCGACGCAAAAAGCAGATTATCGTGAAAGAGAATTCAATATTGCTGCAATGCGTTATCGGACTTTTGCATAATACGGGCAAATTATCGGTTCGAGAGTTGCATTCTAGTCTTCGAATTTCTTCCGAATGTTTTTCGTGCTCTTTGCGTCCAATATAAAGGTCCCATATAAACACGATGATTTATATATATTGCCAAAAATAAATGTTTTTACCGTTATTTTTACATCGTCTTTTATATCACCTTTATGGACCTTTCAAAAATCGTAAGCCGTATATTTATAATCTTGATGGAGTCAAAATTCTTTTTAAATTAGTCAGATGTTTAAAGCTCACACTCGTCAAGGATTAATTTGAGAGGAACGCGTATCTCAATATCGCCTCAGCCGCATGCTCGTTCTCTCTCGCTCGTGCTTTATCGCTTCGTATATCGGCTCCTGGCACTAAACATAAAACCCGTATGGGCCTCGGGTGTCCCGGAGGCACAAGTTCCTCTTAAATAGGTCAATTGTTTTGCCCGGACGAGATTTCTGAGAATTGCGTTGCGCACGTTCACGTGCGGACTCGTGGGGCTCGGTCGATCGATGGATCAGGCGATGGAACGCTCGACCCATTGTCCAAGTTCTTGGAGTGACCGATTGTCGTCTCGGAATTCACGATCGCTCGTCGGTTCTTTGATGTAATTTCGATGCCGCAAAACGCTTAAAATGCTCCTTCCGTCAAAATAAAATTAATTATGAATATTAAGCTAGGAGTCATACGAACTACAAAAATGTCGAAAGTTTATACGTAAAAAAAAGAGTTACGTCAAAGTTCAAAATCGAACGAAAGTTCCTACAAAGTCTTTTGCTATGCTTACTGTGTATCAATCAAGGTTATCAATTATCGCAGGAAAAGTATACGAGACATTTATCGGCTTTATCTCAAGTTTTACATTGAATAAAGTTGGATTGGAGAAAATTGAGATTATTTAAAGAATAAGATTTCTATAGATGAAGCAATGAGTGTACTAAAGTCCGTGGTGACAATATTGCTTCGAGTTTGTTGAAGCTTCAGTTTAAAACTTTATTTGAGATACGATGGCGAATCTTATGCAGTTTATGTAAGAAAAAGAGTTACGGTAAAATTCGAAATTGTGAAAGCCTTCCCGACAAAGTCTTTTGCCTATTGTGTATTAACCAAGGTATCAACCATCGCTGGAAAACTACCGATTATAGACTTTTATATTTAAGTCACGAGAACTAGTAAAAGGATTTCGCTTCTAATACGTGATGTGAGAGAGTGCAGGAATTTCTCGTGTTCGTTTACAGTGAGCGGTTTCGTGCCCGAGCTGCCGAGCGGCTGCATCGGCGGCAACGCGAAGGACCTCGACTCCTCGCCGGTCCCCGGCGGCCTGGGCCGCGGGAATTTGTCGTCGCACCACGTCGCCCTCAGCCACCACCACCACCATCACCACCACCACCATCATCCCCATCACAGTCTGCACAGCCCCAGCTCCGTGGTCTCTATGCACACCAACACCACCACCACCGCCGGCTCGACGCACCATCACCTGGACGACAAGGGCTCGTCGCCGGTGGGCACCCTTCACAGCACGACCAATAGCAATCCCTCCACGCCGTCCGCGCCCTCCACGCCCACCGCGGTCGCGACCACCACCGACAGTGCCGTGACCACCGTCGCGACCGGCACGAATAACGGCACCAACAACGGCGGCTCCGCCGCCACGAACAGCAAGCCGCCCTTCAGCTACGTCGCCCTGATCGCCATGGCGATACAGCAGAGCCCGCAGAAGAGGGCGACCCTCAGCGAGATCTACGCCTACATCACCGCCAAGTTCCCGTACTTCGAGAAGAATAAGAAGGGATGGCAGAATTCGATCAGGCACAACTTGTCGTTGAACGAATGCTTCGTCAAGGTCCCGCGAGAGGGTGGCGGCGAGAGGAAGGGCAATTTCTGGACGCTTGGTACATTAATGTCATTTTAATTTGAAGTACTGCACATTTGACCGGCTTTATCCGGTCTTTTCTACTTCGAAAACGGGAACGAATTATGCAATTTAGCGTTAGATTTAATCGCTAACTTTCTAGTTTCCAGATTCGCCGTCTCGGTTTTCAATTCCCGAATCTTTTTCTATTCTTTTCTATGCGTTCATGAATTTTTCTTATTACTAAAAAGAGCAGAAATTAGAGATATAAATTGACTCATAATCGTCAATGATACATTTCGAAGGAAATATCTTCGATTTTTCCTATTTATAGAGATATTGTCTATTTAAACGCATACATATTTTTATGGCGTCAAATCTATATCTGCATCCCAGTGGATGTTTGCTGTAAACGTGTTTTCTGCGTCATCGTAGATCCGCAGTACGAAGATATGTTCGAGAACGGCAATTACCGAAGGCGAAGGCGAATGAAGCGTCCCTACAGAAACGCTCCGTACCACAAACCGCTCTTCGGCTCGTGCGATCCGTTCTCTGCGACGACCCACGTGCACCTGGGACCAGTGGGACCCAGGAACATTTTCGGCCACTCACCCCCTTCGTACGCCCCCTCTTACACGCGATATGACGCGAGGTATTGATAATGTTTCAGAATGTCGCATGCGAGTACAAGTACACGGAGAGAATTTTCTTTTAAAATTTACTCTGAAAATCATGTTAATTGTGAGACAATTTAATATTTAGGTAAATTTTACTGTGCATTACAATAAATTTTACTGCGAAATCTTATTGTAGTGCACAGTAAAATTTGCCTAAATACTATATTGTCCCATAACTAACATGATTTGCAGGGTAAATTTAAAAAAAAATTCTCTCCGTGTAGTTATACGCTATACGTGTCTTTATACCTTTGTCTGTGAATCTAGCATTCCCAACCACTAAAAAAAAGTTCGACTGTATGCCGCAATTAAGTGCTAACTTATTGCTATATAATTTATTGCCCTAGTCGCGAATTTATTGCTCTTACATCTTTGCAAGAAATTAAGCCGTGCAGTTGTGTCTTTATATAGTTCGCGACTGAAAATCTTAGAACGGGAAAAGACTTCTGTCCCCAATAACATTTCGGATTTTAATTAATTAAAAACATATGTAACTTAACTTAATATATTCCTCCCTTTATACGTATCACTTACATTCCCCGAATTTACTAAGTTTCTTTTTTATTATAGCGCTTGGAGTCTCCAGCAGTCGCAACTCTCGTATAGCCATTGCCAGTCGGTGAGTTCTCATGCCAAAGATTGTTTTATATCAATCTAATGTATAAAAATGTTATATTTTTAATAATGCAGCGTGTCTACTTACAACGGATAGGATATTTCGAGCTTTTTCTTTGTTCTAACGGAGAGTAACGAACGAATATTTATACGACACCTTTCTTTTTCTGTTTCTTTTGCTTTAGATTTTTCTCTCGCGAAGTATAATTTACATATAATTAAGAATTGTTCTGTACAACATGATTTAGAGTTTCTGAGATAAGTTTCAAGTCTCTAAATACATAGTATATTACAATTCGGCCGAGTCATTGGAGTCTCTTTGATCGCAGCTGCAGCCGCAATTGCAGTCGATGCAGTCGATGCAAATTCCGGCTATGAACGGCTACAGCCAACTGGGTACCTCGTTAAGTGAGTCACTATTCTCGCACTTTGCACCCTCTTTTGTCGAGCGGGGTAACGCTGAACGACCAGACAAAGCGTTTCAAGGCAATTACCTGGATGTTCCAGGTGGAACGGCCGGATCGCCCGGTTCCATGGGCGGCGGCTCCTTCGGTAGCGGCTTCGCCGCGTGCGGCAGGAGGCACGAATCCGCGATGGCCACGGATGCAATGTCCGGGAGATGCTATGCTTGGCCCGAGAGTGAGCGTGATTTTAATAAAAATTAAAAGCCTAATATTCTCACTCCAAAGACCTATGTTTAACTTGTAGAATTTTCGTGCCGCCGATCACAGAATTTGTCACGTCGAACTTGGGCGACGCTACGTGAAAGACGAATAATAATTTAATTATTAATTACTAATTGAATTATTTAGTATGTCGAGAGAATTCTATTTTTTTTTCTTTGACGGTCTTACAAATACCGCGTTATACATGCAATTCTCTTTAACGATCGGCTCCGTCTATAATTGATTGTCGCAGTGGTGAACGTGAAGGAGGAGCCCGGGACCAACAACGTGTCGACCAGCGGCGTCGGCGTCGGGGTCGGCGTCGGCGTCGGCGTCGGTGGCGTCGGCATGCCGTCCGGCATGATGGGCACCGCGGCGTCGACGGGCGTCTCCACGACGGGATTCGCGCCGATGGAGTTCCAGACGCGTTCCAAGTGCTTTATGTGAACACAAGAGGAACCGCCGTCAGACAGCAGCGCGTGCTAGCTACGTGACGAGCCGACGTCGTCGCCGGGACCGATGATCCTACGTGATCTATCTGCAATGCGCGGTCGCGTTAATAGATCGCAACGAGAGACGGACGACGATTCGACGAACGGTGAGCGATGCATGGTGCGACGCCCGATGAACGTATAATCTCTCGATGACGCGGTAATGCGGATTATATTTAACAAATATTATCGAATAATATCTGATAATCGTTTAGCGATGTTATTGGATTGGCCGTTCGCGAATCTAACCGCGCCGGGGATAATACAACGTAAACGTTTGTGAAACTCGTGTAATTGCTATTGTTGTGTTAATTCGATGTTAAAGGTACGCACCACGCCGTGCGTCTTTACTGCGTAGGTGCGCGCTCGTTGAATACGTAAAAGCGATAACGCGATAACGCAATACGTGGCGGGGGAGGGTAGTAGCGAAATATCGCGACACGGTGATCCCGCGGCGATCCCTGAATCTCTTTCGCGATCGGCGGGGAGGTCGCCGCGTAAAGCGAGAACAGGGGTGATCGCGAAGAATCTCTCGGCTTTACTCCCGTTTTTTTTTTCGTTTCGACGATATAACACGTTTGAAAATACCTCTATCTTCGCATATCGTTTTCGACTGCTAGACAGTATTTAATATCCTGACGCGACAGGGGCGAGAAAGACGAAGGAAATTTATTCACAACGGGAACGAGATATCGTTTCGATCGCGATAGAAAACGCGTTCCTTTCTGGATTAATAATTCTGAAACGTCACTCCCTGCAGACACGGGAGTTAAAAATTTTCGGCTGCGTTCAGAAATTCGCGATATATCATTTTATTCTTGTTATTCATCGAATGTTAAACGAGAATAAAATAATATCTATATAGATGTATTTAGGTGAAGCTTCTGTGTGCAGCCTTGTGTGCGCAAAATTCTCACGCGCACATTTTCGATCCTTTGCGCTACAACAAATCGAACGGTGCCTTTTCTATCGCGATATTGAACGTTTGCGGAAACAGTAGCTCTTAATACGGATTCGTTATAAGAAAAGCAGAGTAGAAGAAAATCCGTCTTGTTGTAGAAAGTTCTTTTATATATATATATATATATATATATAATATTTAATATATAGAGCTCTATACTAGGGCTTCTAAGTATTCGGATATCCAGATATTCGGATATCCGAGATCGGTTTCAATTCGAATCTCAAAATCGGATTATTCCGATTATTCGGGTCATCCGGATATCCGAATTATTTGGATCCGGATTTGAGTTTGGATCCGGATTTAAGTTAGGATCCGGATCTAAATTCAAATAAAATACATTCGCAATGTATTTTTTTTTATTATAATTTAAAATAACATAAATTTGTTTGTTGAAAATGCATTTTTATTTATTACAGTTGAACCTCGATAACTCGAATCTCAAGGGACTAGAAAAATTGTTCGAGTTATAGAGTTTTCGAAATTCAAGTAAAAGAGGGTTAACATATGAAAATTCGACTTACGGAGGCTTTGTACGAGAGTTTATAATTTTCCAATTATAATGGCATTGTCTTTCCAAATAACTTTAAGTTTCGTAAAACAGACTTGCTTTTAAAGGAAGAAAATCAATATTTAACAGTAATTATTTATTGCATACATATGATAAATGTAACCATAAAACAAAATACTAAGCTATTACTCACATAGCTACAACTTCGAATTATAGAGGCAGCGACAATGGAAGTTCGACTTATAGATGTGAATTTCGACTTGTAGAGGTCTGGCTACTTTAAGTTCGAGTTACAGAGATAAAATATATATCTAAATGCCTGACAAATAATTCGAGTTAAGGTTGGTTTTATTTCGATTTATAGAGGTTTTCCGCAGCGGAGCGGAAGGGAATGAACAAAATTTTCATCTTATATAGGTTTTCGAGTTGTAGAGGTTTGAGTTATCGAGGTTCAACTGTATATTTAAAGCTATACTCTTTTAGCTATAAAACATTTTTTCACCCTCATATTTAGTTATCGAATTTAGATCCAAATTCGAATCCAAATTCGCTACAAATTTAAATTCGAATCTAAATTTGTTGCGAATCCAGATTTGAATTCGAAATACGGATCCAGATTCGATACTTTTATTATTCGGGTATCTTAAAAGATTCGGATATCCGGATAACCCGAATTTGAAGCGTCACATTTATTCGTAATCCGGATAAACGAATATACGGATAGCGTCAAATCCGAACTAATCTTGAAGCCCTACTCTATACATACATACATATATATATATATATATATATATATATATATATGTATATGTATGTAACTATGTATGTATATGTTTAATCGTACAATTATGTACGTTTTATGTGAATTATGCAGATTAGAGCGAAATTGTTTATCCGCGATGATTACGATGTAAATATACACTCATTGTTAGCGTGTAAACACATAGTAATGACTTTAAGAAACTCATACTGCAAATTAGTCTTATGTATAAATCATTAAAATCGGCTTCTATTAAATGTAACGCTCCGTTCAAGTTATTTACACACCGAGATCGTGTATGAGCACTCTGTGGCAGCTGCCGTGGTTCAGCGAGAATCCATGTGTAAAAAAAGTGTAACAGCGGCTATATAAGAGATGAAATAAATCTTAATTATTTATCATTGAAAAATACGCTTTTCTTCCAGGGATTTTGCTCAAGAAAGAGAGAGTTTACTTTTCTTACTTAAAAAAAAAAAAAACTATTTCGAAATTTATATTTAATCAAATTAGACATTTTAATTCACAGGAATCTATAAAAGTGCCGAGCTCCATTTTCAACGTCACAAGGATCATTTATAAGAATTGCAATTACACGCGTATAATATTCAGTAACGCGTCGCGTTATTGTGTAAATGTCGTATTAAATATTACGTAATATATCAAATAAATGTCGTATTAGCTTACATAATGCGACGCTATTAGGTAAATGTCATGCCAAATGTTACGCGTTCAAAACAATTTGTATTCTAAATATTCTTTAACTTCATCAATGAGGTTCTCTGCCTTTCGTTTTAACATTTCAACGTATCGCAAGTTACCGAAATAACTGATCCATTAAGGAAGAAACTTCGAAAAACGGTCGCTCTCGAGAATAGTTTCTGCGCGGTTTCGCGTTACTGCATCCTGGTACAAGGGTTCCGCGGCGCACACAGGATGCCGTGGAAAATAGCGTATATCCAGGGGATACGAGGAGGAGAAGGAGGAGGAGGGCGAGCGCGCGAACTGGACCAATGGCCGTGTGTTTTGCGAGCACGATGTTTTGCAAAACAAGCCGCGCCACACCGTGGGGCTTTAATATTCCTCGTAAAATCTGGAACGCTACGAGCGCGCGCGGCCGCGTCAACACCCGCGCGCGCGTGCATCGGACGCGGGAATAGCACGTGCATCTTGTTTTCCGATCTAGGAGCCGCGCGAGGGAGCACGTCGATACGGTATTTCTCTCCTGGGGCGGGGGGGGAGACTGCAAATAAATTTCGCCGGATACGCGATTGCGAGAAGCGGAGTTTTCGACGTCAAACGTACGTTGGCGGCACGCATTTCTTTCGTGCGACGATAAAGCGATGATAAGAAAATCGCGACAAGCGGATGCCAATATTTTGTTTAACGTTAAATTGTTAAAAGCTGTTTCGTAACATACATCTATTCGTATATACTTTCTTCCGGTAATTAAATATAAGTATTAAGAGAGAGAGTGGAGCTCGTTTATTTGGAAGAGTATAATGTATATACTTTTTTTTTTACATCTTTATATCTAACATTCGTTAACTCTTTGCCTTTTTATATCACAGTTTTGCTCGTAATATATACATGAAGAAAGATAATAAAGTCAGAATTTCCAAAAATGCAATGTGATTCTTATTTACCATTTCTTGTTCCTGTTTATTATACTTTCCCGACCATCCCAGGCATTCCTAATTGGATTCTCGGAATATCAGCTGATTACGTTTATTTAAGAAACTTTTAGCAACTTTTTTTTCTCAAGTTCATGCCTTTCGACCGATTTACGGAGGAATCGAAATTCGAGAGGCATCATTTCATCCTTCTTCGAAACTCCCGTATAAATCTCTCGAATTTCCTTCGTCTCTTAGAAACGTATGCTTTACATAACGCAGTTTGACACGCTCAACGTAAACACCAGATCCACTTTATCCAAACAGACACGATACTGGACTCAGTCAGCCACGCAATCTGCAGTACTACAAGAGCGCGACTGAAGCGTATAATAAAATGTCAATTATCGCACGAGTCAGCTGTGTTACACGTTCGCGCGCGTTTCGGTATTTCCAGTGTCCCAACGGCTCGGTTGAACTTGCGTAATTAATAATTCAATTAATAATCTAAACATTCTAAACTGATGATTTTGTGAAAGTCGGTGTCGCAAGTTTGACGAAATACTCGCGGCGGATTGTTATATTTATTAAATTATTAAGCTTTTTTTTATTATTAATAATTTTATACTATTAAGCTTATTATTCTGCAGTAAATTGTTAAGCTCTGTGACGGAGGTTTGCGATTCACTGTCGTGAAAGGATCTCGGGAGCGAATCCGAGATAAATCTGTCGCCCGGATCCGCGGATTGCAACGCACGGGAGAGAACGTGCGTTGAATGACGCATAACAGCTGTACGCAACTTTGAGTCGCGTTTCGTGCTCGTAAAAGTATGGGTACGTATGAGTAACGAGAACGGTCTCCCCGGAAAAAAAAACCGATCTCGCTTATCGGGTCGCGGGTACACAAATGAGTAATCTTTACTTAAAAGTTCGCTCGAGGTAATCTTAATCGACTCTTTGACAGATGAAATATTTATAGTTTAGTAAAATAATTCCGCATCTATAAAAGCCTGTACGTATGTACTACATACGTCTAGCATTGTTTTGTTACTGTTCTTTGTTGCGTTCTGTTCTGTCTTAAATTCATTTTAAACGATCAGTTGCTCATGTCAGA